GATGTTTGTGATAAGGAGTTTACAATCAGCTTAGTTCACACCAGCTTCAAAGGTGCTGCACGTTCCTTTATGTTTAAATTTTATTAAGGCGATCCCATTCATCTGAGGCCTTTAAAACTTGCTTCTTTCACCCAAAGGTATATTTTCCTCATACAGACAAAACAACATTTTTTAAAAAAGGCTATTTGGTTTCTAATTTCCCCATTTTTATGCCTCTACCAATTTGCAGTGTTTATAAGCATTTAAGCCCCCTTAGAATTCATACTGTAAATGTTTCTATTTACCATGCTAGGTAATATATTGTATAAATGGTATATATGGGAACCATTCTTGCTTGAATTTGGTTAAACTTCTGTTGTGAATATATGCTGTTAATTTTGACATTGCTGCATATTCTCCAATTTTAAGTTTCCAATTAGATATCACTGGAATTGTATCTTCCAACGTTCAGCAAAATTTATTCTCACTGTTGTGAGCATGTATTTCAGTAACATTATGATATTTCTTGTTAATACCAAGATTATACCTAATTTATAATTTGGGATTATACCTAATTTAAAAAGTGATTTCATTTCAAATTTAATTTCCAAATTTTTTTACATTGCAGTTTTGGAATATGTTTACAATAAGGAAATACTGTACAGGCAAGATAGTAATGCTGGTTCCTGTCAGAATAAACAAGTGAATATATAGCAAGACATGTAGACACATATATTATGTATAGAAAAACATATGCATAGGAAAGATAGAATGCCCACAGTTTAGCTGTAGATAAAGAGAATCTGCTTAGCCATAAGTAAGAAAGTTTGCTGTAACTTTAAGATACGGAAATATTTGTTTTAACAGAATATAAAAGGAAGATGTTCATGTTGATAGAGCAGAAGCTATTGTAATAAATTGACACATTTCATTCTTTGAATAATGATTGGCTAAATTTTAAACTAAAAGAACTATAAAAAGGATAGAAAAGCTATTCCCTTTGCAGCTGCCCACCCAAAGATATCTTTGGATGAATAAACATTCTTTGACCTCTATTGATCGTCTGGTTTGGGAATTTAAATCCCGACTTGGGAAATGAACAAAGAAAGGAAGGAAGGGTTAATCCTTCTGACAGTAGTATGTCTATCCTTCCAGTATTTTGAGGGGGCGTTTTTTTGTATGTCCACCACATGTGGTAAAATGTTCCTCCTGTTTCATGGCATTTCCAACATTTATTACTGTATGATTTGTCTATCTTGGAGATTATTGATGGAGTTTGGTACCATCTGTAAAACATAAAATTGAAGTTCTTAGGGATTTGTCCATGTTCTTGATATATTTATATGGAAGCAAGGGGGCCTCTTCCCTTCTAACTGATATGCACAATAAATTGAAGGGGCAGTACTGTCATTTACTGTTGTGGATTCAGTTAGGGATGATCCATCCTTTATAAATGCCCTTGAATTAAAAATTGGCATCGGGACTGGATGAATGTAGTAGGCAAGTAATAATCTCCCTCCTTAATGATACCTGATTCTTCTTCCCATTAGACATAATATAGGCTGATGGATCAGTGTTCTCCAGAGGATTCCAATGAGGGCATTGAGTCGGAGAGAGAAATTGCAGTGGACTCCTTCTGTCCCACTGACTGGGAATTCTGTTGCTCCAACTGTCTAAAGACAGCAGTCATCACTCCTACAGCATTGGCTTGAACTTCCTGTAAATTTTAAAAGATACATGCATAGCCTGTAGCTTCCCAATGCTCTTTGCTAGGTCCAAATTCTCCTTCCTATTTGGGGAGTTCCTGAAAGAATTATCCCTTTTTAGGCCAGTGGATGTTGAACAGAGATTGGTATTGTCTGCTTCCACTCTTGGTTTCCTACTTAAAGATGAGGATACTGTGCCCTCCTGTTTCTGAGGGTGTAAATGTTTCTCACAGGTTGACAGAGGCTACCTGAGAATGCTCTTTATCATATATTTGATACCTAGCCAGCTTATTTTGTATCTGGAGGAGTTTTCCTGGAATGTGAAACTGATGAAAAGTAACTACTAAACTTTTATAAAAATTACCATTTGGGAGCCAAATGATAGTATGAATATCTAAGAGCTCCTTTTTACAATGTAATAGTTAGTTCAGGGAAGTTACTCCAATGAATCCAGTTACAGTAGAGGTTGCCTATAAGGAGGGCAATTTGATTAATTTGTATCTTCCTTGTGCAGGGGGGGCACCCTTCAGTGAGGTGATTTTATTATTAAGGAGTTGGTTGCTGTATTATCAACTCTGCCTTTACTTGGGTTTTATTTGCCCCGTTGGTTTCTAACAGCCTACCCCTCAGCTCCTCCCCAAAATAGCCCATAATCTTTGAAAAACATATTGTCCAGTCCTCAATGTTTTGATTCAAACAGGAAAATTTTTCAAAGAGACCTGACAAAGGTTTAGGCATCAGAAATGTTTGCTTAGTAAGAACTTCCAGTACAATTGGATTATCTGCTGTTACAGCATTATTGGTAGAGCTGCTGGAGTTTTGGATCTTAGCTATTCAAGTAGATTCTGAATCTCTGGAGTATCATGTGCCTCACATTGGAAAACAAATATAGGCAAAGAACCTGCCAATCTAACTTGTTTACCAGCTTTAGTTTCCAGCTGCCCAGGTGAAGATTGCCTCAGCTGGCAGCCAACAGGAAGAATGCCACCAAACGGAAGTGTCCTTATTTACTGTTCACAGTAAATTATTTAAGAAGAGGAATTGGTGAATTTCCCCCCAACTTTATTTTTGCTCCCTTCCCACCAAACATCTCCAGCTGGTAGAAACATCCACTAGTTAGTCTTCTTAACTGAGATGGGGATGAACAGCAAGTGAGTTTTGACACATTGCTAGAGCAGCAGGCTTACTATTTGTCAGAAGTTGGTCCAGGCTTTACAGAAGCTCCAAGCAGCAAGAGATGGGAAGAGAGAGGGAGAACTCCTTTTGCCACCCTTGTCATGGGTAAATGAGTAGTATAATAGGGCTGATTTAATTGGGTCTCTGGCTTAGAATTTAGCATTTAAAGCTATTCTGTTTGTTCCTAATGGTTTGGAGGAGGTTGGAAATTTATAGCAGCATAATACTGAAAGTGTCTGAATGTTTAACTATTCAAACATCTAATATATTTCATTGTTGCAGACATGCTGCTGTTACTCCATCTGGCCCATTCCATTTTGACACCTGCCCTAATAAAAGAGGGTCTAAGTGTATTTCCAGCTTCTCCCATCTCAGAAAGACTACGAGGTTTATACTCTATTTTCTGTAATTTCCCCCCCCAAACATGTTCCTCAGCTGAAGTTAAACTGTTGTGGGCTTGTCATCAAACTGTCACTGAGATGTTTCTCAGATCTTTAACTTAAGGGTTCCCCCCCCCCCGCTTATTGAGGAAACCACTTATGAGGCTGAGAGATAGTGCTCTGCAGTTCAGTCCATGTCTTACATCGGTATTGAAAGCCGCAGTGAGACTAAGAAAGAAACATAGATATACAACGACGAGTCCAGTATTAGTATACATGGGAATATCTCAGTGTGTTTCCCTCATTTGCATCTGTTCAGCTGAGCAGCTATTTTGGATTTCCAAAGGAGCGAAAGAAGTTTAGCTCAATTGTTACGCTGTCAAGGCCCACCCTGACGTTCAGCTTGTAGTGGCATGCCGTTTTTACGTTTATGCGCATGCGCAATACTTTTATTTAATCTCCCGCGATATCAAAGGAAGATTGTAAGACAAAAAGCATGCTCCTCTGAACTTTCTATCTCTGTGAAAACGAGGGTTCCTTGCGAGGGTGCAGGAGGCGCCCCAATGGTTGCAGCCCGTCCGGTCACGTGTCGTGACTGTTTGGGCGTGGCCGCAGTAGTAGCCCGGGCTTTACCGGGGCTAGCCACTGGCTGCTCCTAGTGCTTTGGAGCCGCTCGTAACCGGGGCGAGGCATGGAAAGGGCGCGCGCGTGGTTTATAGTGGCAGCCGCGCTGGGAATGGGATCGAAGAGCCTGGGTAAGTTCGCTCCTCTTTCTCCTCTCTGGTCCGCCTTTAATGCCGGCTTGGAAAGATGGGGTTTGTGCCCCTTTGGCTGCAGTGTTGAGAGGCAAAGGCGGGCAGTATTCCCGATGACTGCGTCTCATTCTGGACTCGGCGTGAGCCCTGGCAGAGAAAGCAATCGCGAGGAAAAGTTGGCGGTGCTTCCGCTTTATCGGAGGTGACAGTTTCGCCTTTTAAAATAAGAGGAGGGACATCCCGGAACGAGAGCTCTGATTTCCTCGCTCAGCCTTTGCGAAACGGAGCGTGTGGACAAGCCAGGGTCCCCAGGAACTGGGCTCCGATGCGCTTCTGAGGTTGTCCTTTGGAAAAAGGCTGAAGGCCACGAAGAAATATTTAGTGGGCTTTTTCAGCTGTGGCCCCTTCACCCCTGATCCCACTGTGGTGAAGAGAAAACAGCAGCCTCCTCATGAATGAGCCGCCGCAGCAGCAGCAGAGTATCAGCGCCTGCCGAGCATAAAGGCTGCTCTGAGGAAGGGGCAGGTGTAAGGAGGGAGGGCTGGAGAAGAAGGTGGAGGGAGACAGCAGATCCCAGAGAAGGCTGCAGAGAAAGCAGGTTACCGTTCTCAGGCCAGGAGAATCCCTCACCCTTCTGTGCTGCCTGGCCAGAACTGAGCTCATTGCCCAGGCAGAGAAGGGGGCTGGTTCCTCGTATTGGAAAGCCTTACTCAAAGAGAAGGGACCAGAGACTACTCAAGTAAGGAGTTGGCTATATGCTCCCAGCAGAGGTTGGAAGTCTTACTGAGACTGTTGGAGCAAGAACAGGAGAAAAAGCCTCAAAGTGTTGCTGCCAGATCAGTTCACCTCCTTAATTACTTTGAATTCTTAGTTTGGACTGCTGACTCTCCAGGACTGTTTTTGTTTTCAACCCCTGCCCTTAAAAGTTCAAGAGACCTGGAAGAATAAACTTCAGTGGGTTCTCTACATCTTTGGAGAGTCCAGTGTTTGCTTTCTTTTACACGTTCCCCACCTCTATGTCTACAAGGTGCTATACTCACCATCTTTCAAGGTGACAGTCACTTCCAAAATTCTGGTACCCAGCTGATTTCAAAAGTTAGAGTGACCAGGGGCAGCATGGTTATAAGTGAGTTTTCTTCCAAATACTCAGCAGATTGGTCTCAGCAGACCCTTAAGGCCTGGTCCTGACTTGTACAAACAAATGTGTCCTCAGTTGTAAGGTGAAGGCTTTTCTCCTGCAGGCATTCTCCAGGAAGGAAGACTGGAAGGGCCCCAGGGAGAATATAGGTCAATGACCATTTCTTGAGGGTAGGAACACACAACATGGCCCTCAACTTGCTTCCAGCCCACTGCAAAGGCAACTTTTGCCTGTCTTTTCCTGCTGCACATCAAAAGTAGAATTCTGTGACTCAACGCAAGCACAGGTGCCCAGATTGCCTGTGGAGCTTCATTTGGCTCCTGAGTGCTGTGGCAAGAAAAGCTTTTCCTTTCCTGTCACCAGTTGCTGCTCTCCATGGGCATTTTTTCCATCGTCCTTTTTTTTTTTATAGTTTCACCAGTGGAACAGTAATAGGGTGGGCTTTTCTTTCTCTTCTCCAAACTTATTGATGAAGCAATGGAACAGTGAAATGTGGATTGTGACTTGGGTGTGCTTAAAAATGTATATGTCTTAATTGGGTAAGAATTAGGTAAGAATTTTAAGAAGTGGAGTGTACAGTACCTGAATGCAAAAAATAGCACAATGTATGGAATAAACAAATTGGACAAACTGTTATTTCAAAGAGCAGGGCTTTTTATTAGAAAACTGTTAAATCAAACCAGTTTGAAGGTCAATCAAAAGTTGATTTAACCAATATGTACTATAATATGATTTGGCCTAAAAGATGTTTCAAAAATCTGCATATTTAATTTCCTTTTCTACAAACATTTTGATCTTGTTACTGCTACATTTCATGTTTCTTGTGTTAGTCATCAATTAGCATTAATGAGAATAACAGAATCAAGAACATAATGCAAATGTGTATGTTCTGAGAGGCATTAAGGAGACCGTGCTATTTCCAAGGTATAAATGCACTGAGCTGGATATTAATGTTTTGTTCCTGTGGCTTTTTTGTATTGTCTGTAACCCTATGTATTGGTTGCATAAATTGCTCAGAGTCCGCTGGATTGGAATGGCATATAAAGCACAGTTAAATAAATAAATAAACAGATCAAGGAAGCCTTGGCCTTATTGCTTCCTCTGTAGTTTGCCTTCACTGCTTTCAACAATGGCTGGATTTCCCATTATGCACAGCCAAAAGCAGGCCATCTTCAACAGTTCCTAGCTTAGTGGGTTACAGATACAAAGCCATCATCAGTTGTTTTAGAATTTATAATAATTATTTTCTTTGCTAAACATTTATGCTTAAAGGGAAGTGTCGTCAACTATATCACATCCAAGGAACAAAGATTTTCTCTCATTTTTTTCAAATTTTAGAAACCAACCTCCCTGAGTGCCAATTCCTCCTATGCTGTAACTTACTACCTCTCATCTAATGTACAGTATGTTGTCTCTCCTAGATGGTCCTTGACATACTCTGCTTCTGCTTGTTGTTCTGGAATGAGGATTACTTGTCAATTTCTGTTTCAAAATGTATGACATGTTCTCCACAATGTGAGCATCATGAATTAGAGTTGGATCTTCTGTAGACTCTGATTTCAGGACAGATTTAAATCTGCTTTTCTATTCTGTCACAAGATGCTTTGAATCAAAATCATCCCACTTGCTGACATGTTAAAGAAAAGGGGGACTAAGTAACTATATTTACTAAGTAATATCAATCCATGTTTCACTGAAAACCTCTCAGGGAGCTTAAAAGTAAACCAAAATAATAATATGTCAGCCAAATAACCAAGTTTACTACCAACACAGAAAGTTTAAAGAAGTACAGTGGGGCAAAAAAGTATTTAGTCAGCCACCAATTGTGCAAGTTCTCCCACTTAAAAAGATGAGAGAGGCCTGTAATTTTCATCATAGGTAGACCTCAACTATGAGAGACATAAAAGACACCTGTCCACAACCTCAAACAGTCACACTCCAAACTCCACTATGGCCAAGACCAAAGAGCTGTTGAAGGACACCAGAAACAAAATTGTAGACCTTAAAAGACACCTGTCCACAACCTCAAACAGTCACACTCCAAACTCCACTATGGCCAAGACCAAAGAGCTGTTGAAGGACACCAGAAACAAAATTGTAGACCTTAAAAGACACCTGTCCACAACCTCAAACAGTCACACTCCAAACTCCACTATGGCCAAGACCAAAGAGCTGTTGAAGGACACCAGAAACAAAATTGTAGACCTTAAAAGACACCTGTCCACAACCTCAAACAGTCACACTCCAAACTCCACTATGGCCAAGACCAAAGAGCTGTTGAAGGACACCAGAAACAAAATTGTAGACCTTAAAAGACACCTGTCCACAACCTCAAACAGTCACACTCCAAACTCCACTATGGCCAAGACCAAAGAGCTGTTGAAGGACACCAGAAACAAAATTGTAGACCTTAAAAGACACCTGTCCACAACCTCAAACAGTCACACTCCAAACTCCACTATGGCCAAGACCAAAGAGCTGTTGAAGGACACCAGAAACAAAATTGTAGACCTTAAAAGACACCTGTCCACAACCTCAAACAGTCACACTCCAAACTCCACTATGGCCAAGACCAAAGAGCTGTTGAAGGACACCAGAAACAAAATTGTAGACCTTAAAAGACACCTGTCCACAACCTCAAACAGTCACACTCCAAACTCCACTATGGCCAAGACCAAAGAGCTGTTGAAGGACACCAGAAACAAAATTGTAGACCTTAAAAGACACCTGTCCACAACCTCAAACAGTCACACTCCAAACTCCACTATGGCCAAGACCAAAGAGCTGTTGAAGGACACCAGAAACAAAATTGTAGACCTGGTATACCTATGATGAAAATTACAGGCCTCTCTCATCTTTTTAAGTGGGAGAACTTAAACAATTGGTGGCTGACTAAATACTTTTTTGCCCCACTGTATGCACTCATATGCTACTACTTTTCACCTGAAGTTCTTTTGAGCCTAAAGCTTGGTTGGGTCCTTAGCCCATGTAGTGCCCTGAAGACCACTTTTAAATATGCAAATCATCTTTAACCAGTTTTCCAGTCACTGCTGTCTATACTGAATTTTAAAAAAAAACACCCAGTTCCATATTTAACACACTTCTTTCCTAAAGTGTAGCAGAAAATGTTAAAATGTACATAACATTACATTGTCTATAGTAAAGCATAAATGTTGTTTGCTAAAATATTCACAGGTTTAACATGTCTGGAACACCCACAAAATGTTACTGTCCATGTTATTAACGCACATATCACCTTGAAATGGGACTGGGATAATCCATGTGGCCTCAATGTAACATATTCAGTAGAATTCCAAAGGTAAGACTACATATTACTGTGTTTTGCAACATTTTTGAAACATTGTTGGCAATATTGGTTCAATATATGTCTTTACTCTGATATAAATATTAATACTGATATGTCTTTGTTCCATATCAGTGTTTATTTTCTACAATGAAAATGTTTGAAGATTCAATTTGAATGGAATTCTATTTTGGTTAAAATTAGGCAGATGCATAGAACATGTAGCATATAACTTTTGTGTTACTTTAAGACAGGCATAATAATAATGAACAGCACTGTACATGCAGATGTCTTCTTGATGCTTACAAGACAGATTCATCTGGTTTTTTTTAAATAAAGTATATATTTTATTTATGGGGCAAACTAGAGTGCTACAAAGGATGGGGGTTTCTTCCGTAATGCTTCTGGGATCAACATAGGTGTCATAACATTCTTTCTTTTCTTTTTTAATGAATGACTGCTTCCCAGCATTTTATTTGAAAACATGTCCAAGACCTTTTTCTTTTTTCAGTTATTCCACAGGGACTGAAATCTGGGCAGCTATTCCTCAATGTCAAAAAATAACTGTCACAGAATGTGATCTTTCGTCAACAATTCAAGATTATTTGGAGACTTACAATGTGACTGTAAGAGTGGACACTGTGAAAAATCACTCTCACTACACCTCTTTAGAATTTATTCCTTATCTGGAAGGTATGAATCTTTGCCTTGTTTATTCACATTATGGAAAATGGTTGATAATTAAACATACATATTTTCAGCAGTAGTATCTCAGTGATTTTGCCTGAGTTTAGAAGCTAAGCAGAGTCAGGCCTGATTAGTCCTTATAGAAGAAGAGGGCAGACATGATTTCCCCTTCCTATGGCAGAGTGCCAGTAAGAAAATAGATTTTATTGTGTGAAAGTTCAAAGCGTTCTGGAAAATTCCTATGATTTTGTTTTGTAGTGTCTTTGATAAAAGAATTTTCTAATATGCACTGGGCTTTCACATAGTAAAATATGTTTTCTTACTGGCATTTGAGACATTTCTTTTCCCCTTATTTTTAGTTAGAACTCTGGTTAAAACCAGTGAAAATTTTAAAAAATGCAGAAGAAGTCAGTAGCAAACCTCTTCTGCACTGTTGCCAAGAAAACTGAATGGAGATGTTTCCATGGAGTTACCAGGAGTTGAACTGAGCTTGAAAGCATCTATACGACTGCTTTTATATTGCTATGTAATGGCCAGGCTTCAAGTTGCCATAACATGAGTTTCTATTTGAGGTACCAAAAGGTTTTCCAATTATTAGAGAAGCTTGTCCTTGTTAACATTTTCTTCCTATTTCACCTTTATGCAGTAGAACTTCAGAATTTTTAAGAGAAACATTGAGGATGAAAACTTTTCTGGCTTGGGAAGCCCAAGGAGGGAAGATAGGAGATTAAACATTTTTCTTTGGGAGCTCCTCATTATTTCCCATTCATCTTTTGTCAGACAGCTACCAATTTCTTACCTTGTATTACTGGTGGTAACCCTTCCCTGTTTACTCACTTGCTACCTCTTATGGCTAGAAAACTAAACATTCTCTTTCTTTCCAACATATCGTTTTTCAATTTTACATTAGCCACCTTCTTTGCATGCCAGACTCTTTGATATACAGACATTTCCCAAGAGCTCTGTATTTATTTATTTAATTTAATTTAATTTAATTTAATTTATATGCCGCCCATCTCCCCCAGAGGGTGACTGCGTGTTCCAATCTTTCATTAAAATCTGCTGAATCAAAGGCACTACCTGTGGTTGTGTTCACACATTGCAACATGCCATTATTTTTTTAACCATGATTTGTGGACTAACTCATAATGATCAACTTCACCCATGGCATTCCACTAGGCCACAAGTAAACCGTTTTACTTTACCTTGCTTTACTTTATTTTTATTCTGTTTTATTTTAATGCTTCTCATGAGAAACTTTGCAGAACAAGAAAACTCTGAAAAAAATAGTAAACCTACCCCTAAAATAACCCGAGTACAGTATCAGAATTATACAAAAAAGGAAATATACAAAAACATATGTCTACCCATTTAAAATCTTCAGTCACAGCATGCTCTCCTCCTGCACTTGATGGCATAACCTGGTCTTAATTGCTCTCTTGAAATCAGGATGGGAAAGAGTAGACAGGATCTTTGTGGGGAGGAGATTACAGAGTATGGGAGCAATAATCAAAATGTCAGCTTCTGAGACCCTATCAGATGGAGTTCTCATGTAGACAGGATCTGGAGCGTGTGGACCATGTTCAACCTAATTAGACCGATTAATATGGTAGAAGGCAGTTCCACATATAACTAGTCCAGAGCCACATAGGACCTTAAAGGTGATAACCAGCACCTTGAATCACACCTGCAAGCCAACCAGCAACCAATGCAACTCCTGAAGTAAGTGGTCACCAAAAGGTATTGTAATGGTATGTGGGAATGACCTTGGGAGACAGAGCAAAGAGTCACAGCCAAGGGAATGGTCAGATAAAAGGCAACTTAGCCCACATCAAGAATGTGGGTGGGGCAAGGGGCTCAGAACAGACCCTCCCTAGTTTCTTGGGGTATAAAGGAGACAGGAGGACAGATGTACTTTCAGACTTGCAGGATTTTGTTAATGTACTATTACAATAAAATAGAATTAGCTTATCTGATCAAGTTTCCTGTCTGGTCTACCTCGTAAGTCTGAGAGGTATTGAGATACACCCACCATTACCTGGACTGCCATTTTGTACCAGCTATAATTTTCAAATGCTTTTCAAGGGCAGACCCATTTGGAGCTCATTACAGTAATCCAAGTAGGAGGTGATTAAAATATGAGTGATTGTGAGGAGGGTCTCCTGATCCAGGAAAGGCTACAATTGGTACACAACATCAAACTACAAAAGCCTCCTGGCCATAGCTGCCATCTGCTGATCAAGTAGGTGCTATGAGTCCAGGACCCCCAAGTCTTGAATTATCTCTTGATGGGGGAGTACAACTCTACTGAGAGTAAAATATGGTATTTTCTGGAATTGTTTGGCCCATAAACTCAAATCCATTCTATCTTGAGGGATTTGGTCTGAGTCTATTCCTCTCCATCCAGACCCTGACAACCTCCAGGCCCTGGGCTTGCATTTGTACCATATCACCCATTTGACCTGGGGCCAGGAAGTATAGCTGGCTATATTAGCATATTGATGATACCAGACCATGTGCCAGTGGATGATTTCTCCCAGCAGTTTTATGTAGTTGTTAAAAAGAAGTGGAAAAATTAGCCCTGAGGCACTCCAAAAGTAAAGGTTTCCAGGCAGATCTCTCCTCTTCCACTGACTGGAAACCCCTCCCCCCAGGAAGGAGGAGAACCATTGCAAAAAGTGCCCTCCACTCCAGCCCTGCAGAGATGGCCCAGTGATACTGAAACGATACTGAAAGCCACTGAGAGATCAAGGAGGATCAGGAGGGTTGTATTCCCCCAATCCTAATTTCTCCAAAGGTCATCCACAAATGCAACTAGTAGTTATGGACCTTAGTCTCTCTCTTATTCCAGTTGTGACCTGGGCCTCAACTGAACTGCCCACCAGATTCTCAGGAAACCTGCCAAGTTTTCCCACTCTGAAAACCCACTGGATCCATTGGATGACTATCTAGAGTTTACATCTAATAAGTCCTTTCCCACTACTCCATAGCAATCTGAGAGTTATATGTCCTTGACAAGGGGCTATGCATCTGCCCCAAGAGAAAAATTAGACCTAGCATGTGACATGCACCTTGGGTCCTCAGTAAGTTGGGTCAGGTCCATGGTTGTTATGGTGGTCATGAATTCCTGGGCTGTTCTAGACCCCTTGCCAGGGAAGGCAAGTTGTAGGCCCCAACACCACCAGTTTGGGGGATTCTACTGCTACCCTAGCAGTTGGGTTGAGCAGCCCTGGCAGGGATACTGCCATACAGTGAGGGGTGGGACACCAGCAGCAAGCCCAACTGCCCCTCTAGGCTTAGCCACACAAACAAGGTCTCACATCTCATTATCTGGAAAATAGTGCATCTTGATGCCAGCAGAGTCTCATGGATGACAATAGCTACCCAATCATATTCTCTGCTATCCTAGCACTGTGTAAGTAAGTACTCCAGAGTGAGTACTATTAATCTTTTCTGCTGATATTTTCATCTACAGCTCAAGTGGGTCCTCCAGAAGTTTGGTTTGAATCAATATATGGAGATGTAAAAATCAATATTTTACAACCTGAGACAGACCAACAAAAAATGTGGCAGCTAGACAGATTAACATACGAGCTAACTATCTGGAAAAATGCAACCCATCCAAAGGTTTGTTCCTCGTATGATTACTATTTGCTGAGATATTGATGATATATAAATCTGGTACATTATGACTGAAGTATATGTGAAATAATTTTGTATATTTTCTTTCAGAAATACAAATTCTCTAAAGCTGTACTTCTTTACTGTTCACTCAGAAGTTCTGTTGAATTCTGTAGTATTTCCTTTTAGTATACAAATGTGGGGTTTCAATAGAGGTTCATTGTGGTTGACAACTTTCTCAAGTTCCCTATGAGAATTAAGTCTGAAATAGCTTAAATGTTCAAGTATGTATATTCCCTCTTTGATTCTTTTCTACCAAAATCTGCTAGCTGGTGGTATAGAGTCTGCGACAGTGCAAGAGTTCATGGCCTCCATGGTAACCATGGATCTGTCCCAAATCATTGATGGCCTAACACATACCAGGGGTTGCACATTAGATCTGTTTTTTTCCCCTCTAGAGCAGTGATGTGATCTGGTAATGGAGGACATTAACATCAGTCTGTTGCCATGGAAAGGCCACTCTACAGTCTTCCAGAGTGCTGGTGGATCCTCCAGGAGCTCTGGGAGATGAAGTGGCAGAAGAGATTCCTGGAGTAATGTTGGAGGAGGGCACGGAGTGAGTCTGATCAAGCATGGATAAGACTCCATATTAGGGATTACCTTGTGGCAATAAGGGTGGCAGAACATCAATACTTCTCCACTCTTATTCAATCTGTGGATAGCTGTCTAGTGGCCCTGTTTAGGGTGACCCAGTTCCTACTGGGCAGGGACAGGCCACAGGATGATCTGCAGGGCTGCTGGAAGGAATATTCTGGCTGTCTGGCAGATAAAGTCACTCAGATCCACTATGATGTGGATTCCAACTGGGCAGGTCCAGCCAAAATGCCTGGGACTTGGTCTTGTGGTACGATCTGGGATGAGTTTGAACCAGTGACTCTGCTTGGATCTGAAGGCCTTCATAACTGATCACTGCCTGGATGGAAATATTCCATCACTGCCTGGATCCACTGCCACACTGGAAATATTTGAGTTTTCATTACTTTTTATACATTCAAATTTATACTATTCTTGCTGCATCAATAAAAAAAAAAAAGATTGGCTGTGTTTATCCTGACTCAGGGGTAAGTTTTGAAACTGATGCAACAAGATTAGGCAGAGCTTAAAATGATTTAAAGCTGATGCAAGATAAACTGGCTCACTGTGAGGATTGATGGGTTACTCATGAGGGTATAACTCAAGCTAGTCATAATATTTTGGATAAACAATTACTTAATTAGAGTCACAATTGTGCAGGAAAAAATTACATGTGATTGGCATTGAAAAACCCCTGAGTCAATCAAACCTGGCTGAATTTTATGGAGAATTTTTTTTAGCAAGTTCCTCTTTTTGGGACTTTCCAGTCGAGATTGAACATGTCATTAAAATTCCTTTAGTGAGACAGAAAACTGGAATTAGTTCCGATATCATTATTATGCAATTCCTTCATGTTACTACAAGGTATGAGATTTTACATATGTTTCACTAGGAATCAGTAAAGTCTCAGCTGAAGTGAGGTCCCAGCCAAAATAAGATATCAGTTTATTCTGATTTTACTAAAGAAGTCTGATAAGAGAAGGCTTTTTACAAAAAGCAAAAATTTTGCAAGGTCAGCACAACTTCAATATTTCATGCGCTTTCCAGCTACTTTCTGTATCAGTTACCAAGATCAGATTCACAGATTTGATAATCATTTGAATGCAGAAGCATTCTTTTTTCTTCTTTTTCTTTACTCTTTCTTGTTTTGGTTAGTGTTAAGATAACAAAGTCTAGGCATATTGCCAACTTAAGCACCTATCTCCAGATACAAAGGTTCTCCCTGGTTTGTACTTTTATTGAGAAGCAGAAGGAGGTTGGAGAAGAAGAGGGAAAATTAGTTCTGTGCTGTTTTTCTGTTCAGAATTGCCCAGACTCCTCTCCCCATACTGCTGCTTTCTCCACAAGGAAAAAGTACAAGTATGCACTTTTGCCCGGCAGTGGTAGGTGGCATTTTGATGTGAAAAACAGTAAACACTCGTTCTGCATTGGGGTAGCTGTTCTGTTATGAACAATATGGGAATTCTACTTGGGAGGGAATGTCATTGTGCTCCTGACTGATGGATAAGTCAGACATCATAATCTAGTTCAATTTGCATATGCACAAATTAATTTAGGAAGACACGACTTTTTGTTAGCAAGAATGGGTCATGGATATAGCAGGTATAGTTACACTTTGATATTATCATTTTAAAAGAAACTTGTTTTTATACCTACTGGGCCATTTTTATATTGTAGATAAAATGAGACCTTTTTATTTTGTAAATTACAGAGACTGAAGACCAAAAATTGTGTTTTCTTACATGCCAAGCAGCACAACTGACATTGAAGAATTGAGCATATATTATTTATTTATTATTCAGCTTTGAGTTTGTTAAGCCTGCTAATTGTTAACAGCTCATTGTTAACAGCTAATTCAGTTTCAGTACATTTCCTGGCGCATGATAATAAATTACACTACTAGAAGAGAGGATTAGATTTTCCCACTAATATATCTGCCAGGAGTACTTTGCTTGGTCTTGCCATCTGAAGAACATAGAAATGTTTGTTAGGGACACTGCTTCCATGTCTTTGGAGAGGGATGAAGCTATGTTCTGAATTTGATTGTACTTCTAGACCAGTATTTTTCAGGCTTGGCAACTTTAAGATGTGTGGACTTCAGCTCCCAGAATTCCCCAGCCAGCATGCTGAAGTCCACTTATCTTAAAGTTGCCAAGCTTGATAAACACTGGATTCACAAGAATTACGCAAGGAAAAAATCTTGGCTATCTGAAAAAGTCCACTAGCTGCATAAGAACTTGGGCAAATAAATACATAGGCATAAAAGCTCATTTTACAGGTTAAGTGCAAGTATTTGACCAAATTTTAAAATAAAAGTTACATGATAAATGGTAATTTAATAGCCAAATGCACTCTGATTTGAACAAATTAAGATGCAGCATCTTAAATAATACCTATGTTAAGCCAATAATTACATGTTATTTTAACTGTTTCTGCAGCAGCATAAGAATTGTCAATAATAATTACTACAATCATAGTCATAACAATAACAGTAAATTCAATTGTCTCTCTATAGGAAAGAAAACAAAATATTTTTCCAGGTACAATCATTTATGATCTTGAACCAGAAACTACTTACTGTTTGAAAGTTAAAGCATGTGTGGCTGATCACAGTTCTTTTTACAGTCCTGTGCACTGTATGCAGACTTCTAAAGGTATGTATTTCTTGTGTATTCATTTTAAGCATAGAAATCCTTTCTACCCTGGTTTTTTTTTTAAAAAACTACATATTTTAAAAAAATAAAAATATGACATTTTATTTACAACAATGTGGCATCCAGAATCATGTTGTCTTTCCCCCACTCTAGCGTAATTAAGATATGGGAGAGGTGTTAGTTTGAATATCTCATCTATATCCCTTTCTACCATAATTTTAGAAATTTGGAGATTTCTTTAATACAACTATCAAAGTGGGTACCTTAAGGCAGTGTCTCTTAAGACCTGACAAAGGGGCAGTTGATAACTGTGATATATTTTATTAAGCCAAGAAAGTAGCTAATACCCAGTAACACTTCAGTAATGTATTCGTTAATAGGAGCTAAATTGGCCAGTAAAGAATGTATACTATTCATCTACCTTCTCCCCAAAAGCCAGTGAAGAGATTTAGTAAAGCCCAAATCTGGCAAAAATGTCAAATTCTGAAAAGTGGGTGGGGTGGGGATGGCTGCCTTTGTTTTTCTGCAAGATTGTAGAAATCTGATGGGAACAGGAGTTTGTTGGTATGGTAAAGTTATGAACTTTGCATTTTATGTCCTGCCTTTATATTTGTGTAAATTAAGCCTGTATTACAGAAATGCCATCAACCTTTCATCAAAATGGAACCTTAGATGAATGTTATCACCCCTGAAAATTCTCACTGCTTATCAGTTGAGCATATATGTCTAATATTACTCTTTTCTAGAAGTTTGGGGCTACAACTCCAGCTAATATTCCCAGCTTTGTTTTGAATAATGTGGGAATCACAACTGACACACTTACAGGGCTCCAGTTTGAGAAAGACTACTGAAAGCATGTATAAGCAGTTACCTGTTCTTCCTCCTCCAAGTAGCAGTAAAGACCATTTCCATAAGGAAAAAAAGTGGTAGAGGCAAAATGGCTGTATTTAGGCACCAAGCAAAAAAACTGTATTGGAGAACTTGCATTTAATAATGGTTTATCTATCACTGATAGTTCCGTACTGTAAGAGGCCAACAGAACTCTTGTTTCCTGTTTGATTGGATTAGAGACTTGTATTTAACTCTTCATTCTTGCTATTTTTCCTGAAACTACTTGGAAGGATTTTTTTTCTCTTTGTAGCTTGGATTGGTCTGCCTCGTCCTGAAAATCTTCAAATTCATAGCTTGAATATGAAGCATCTCTTGTACTGGGATAATCTATATGATGGAAATGTGAGCTTCGTAGTACAGTTCCTTCAGTAAGAATCCTTGCTATGTATACTTCTTATTTTCACACTGCATCTAATTTCTACTGTTTTTATTGTTCTGAAGCTTAGCATATATGTGTGTGCTGATACATTTGATCAGTAGAGGCGTGTACAAGTGCTGCAGATGACCATGAAAAGAATGATGGCAATAAAGAGACTTCATTGGTGGGACAGAGGGGTTTTTAACTGATAAAAGAGATTATCTACATACTGGAGGTTTAACACACTTACTTTACTGTTTATTTCCCATCCAAAATCAGAAAATTGAACTACTTTTTAGTTAGAGCTGGGGTATAATATTGTGCTGATAAATGTATGGCATTCAATTCACCTTCTGTTCCTATAGCGGATACAAACTGAACTATTCTCCTGATGTTTCAAAGGATTGGAAAAATGCATCTGGATGTGAAAACACCCTAACTACATTTTGTGATCTCTCATCTTCCATTGGCTCCAATGGAATTTACTATCTCCGTGTGCAGGCAATGAATAGTCATAACAAGTCACCTTGGTCTAAAAACCTAAAATTTGTACCTATACAACAAAGTAAGTTTTACCTCCTTACCATCCATTCTGCTGTTGCATATGCATAATACACAGATACTTTGTATTGTTCATCACCATTCCTGTACTGCAGCTTGTAATCAGTTTTTTCTCTGTGTGTGTATGCACACACCAACACACTCTCTGTGGCCTTAAATACCCTATTTGTCCCCCTCCTAGTAAGCACAGTAAGCATGGGTGACATTTTCTGACTTCTTAAAAGAAAAAAAATGTGGTTGGATGGTTAGGGAGTTTACAGAGCCTGAAGGTGCCCATTTTACCCCTTAAAAACCTTCACACAATATGATTGGATCATAATTCCCCATTTGGAAAGGAAAACCCATATGGCCCCTTATACACTTAGCGCAACAACTCAGTTGGACACAAAAATCAGGCAGGGCAAAAGGACTGAGTGAATACCCACCTTACCCCTGTAAGATTTGCCCCGTTCAACAAGAGAAATTCCCGTGACACGTGTGGTTCACAAAAGAGGTTTACTCATGCGTAACATAACAGTTATAAGCAAAGCCAGGACTGGCTTGGTACATTTACATTGCTCATTTATACTTCTCCCCTTCCTGCGCTTTTCGCCCCGCGACCGTGTTACCACCGCGGATTATCAGCCCCCAAATCATCCCCCTTAATTGTCCAGAATGGCAGGTTCAGCCCGGGTCCCATTGTCCTTGATTGGTAGTCCCCTCCGGCGTGGGTTGGTTCCCTTGGGTTCCTCCTGTCACGTGCAAAACCCGAGGCTTCTGGATTGCGCAGTGATCTCGTTCCACTGCCCGTGGCCCCACTCATTGTTAGCTCGCACCGCTTATCAGTGTAAAGTTAAAGCTTCCACTGCGGTTTTCCCGTTTGGCTAAGCGCAGGTGGCCCATTAATCAACTGCGCTTTCAGTTCCTCTTTTCCTCGGCTACCAGCCGGTAGCGAAGTTAGCGCGGTGCGGTGGCAAGCTTTCCTTGAAGCGCTGTGCTGGCCGAACCTGACATACCGCCCCCCTGACAATAGACCCCCCCTTTTTTATTTCGGCTTCCCGGGGTATCTATTGTAAAAGTCCTGCACTAGGTCCGGTGCTTTTATATGGGCTTTGCTTACCCATTCGCTGTGGGACTTGGGGAAGTGTTTCCACTGCACCAGCAGCTGGACCTGCCCCTTGTGCCTCCTGGTGTCCAGTATCTGTTTAACCTCGAAGTGCTGCTCCCCGCCGACCATGATGGGTGCCGGTGCCAACTTTGCCTTGTGCCAGGCGTTCCCTGGCTGGTACAGCTTCAATAAGCTGCAGTGGAACACCGGGTGGATCCTCCCAAGGCTTTTGGGGAGCGTCAGCCTGATGGTTACCGGATTGATGATCTCCGCGATGGGGAACGGACCCACAAACCTCGGGCTGAGCTTCTTCGAAGCCTGGTGTGTCTTTAGGTTTCTAGTCGATAAATACACCTGGCCCCCACCTTCCACTGCCACTCGGGGAGCCTTTTGCGGTCCGCATGTTTCTTGTATTCGGCTTCGGCCCCTTGCAGCGCCGCATGCGCCGCCTGCCTCGTGGCAGCTATTTGGGCGAACCAGGAGTCCAGAGAGTCGATTCGGGATGCCGGCTGAGGCAATTCCGGCATGGGAACGAAGCCTCACCCGGTGGCCACTTGGAATGGGGAGAAGCCGGTGCTTTTGTGGACGGCGTTGTTGTAGGCTACTTCTGCGAACAGCAGTAGCTCCGCCCAATCGTCCTGCTGATGCCCCACGTAGCAG